AACACAAACGGCAGGTCCCGCAGCACCGAATCCATCAGGCGCTGGAACGTCTGAGCGGCATTCTTGAGTCCAAAAGGCATCCGCAGGAACTCAAAAAGTCCAAAAGGCGTTATCACTGCTGTCTTGGGAATGTCCAGGGGGTGCATGGGCACCTGGTGGTATCCACGCACCAGGTCCACCTTGGAAAACACCCCCGTACCGGCCAGATGTGCCGAAAAGTCCTGAATGTGCGGCACCGGATAGCGGTCAGGCGTAGTGGCGTCGTTGAGTCGGCGGTAATCCCCGCACGGGCGGAACCCGCCGTTCGGTTTGGGAACGACGTGCAGGGGGGAAGCCCAAGGACTGTCGGAGCGGCGGACAATGCCCAGGCGCTCCATGGTTGCGAACTCCACCCTCGCTACAGCCATCTTAGAAGGGTTCAACCGCCGGGCCCTGGCGTAGACAGGAGGCCCCTCGGTAGTGACGTGGTGTTCCACGCCATGCTTAGTGGTAAGCGCAGAGAAGGTGGGTAGCGACAGGTCTGGAAACTCGGCCAACAGTCTGAGAAACGTGTCTGCCCCTGACAGCGAGCCTGACAGTACGCTGCGCTGCCAAGTGTGCACACGAGGGAAGAAAACGTTAAGGCATCAACCAAACGTCTATTCTTAACGTCCACTAAGAGTCCATGAGCACACAAAAAATCCGCTCCGAGGAGGGGAAAAGAAATGTCCGCTGTCACGAAATCCCAGCTGAAACGCTGTCCTCCGATGCACAGACACATAGGCCTCACGCCGTACGTGCGAATGGGACCGCTGTTAGCGGTCCGTGCCCCCCACGGGCGACGTCTTCACTCGACGCTGGAACTACGCTCCGTTGAGCGCCCGTGTCACACAGAAACAGGCTCCCCGAAACGTTGTCGCTGACGAAGAGGAGCCTCCACGTGCCGCAGACGCTCAGAGCCACTACTGAGCGCCGGACCCTCCGTTTCCCGGGGGTTTGTAGCTGCACGGAGCGATGCATCTCTTCGCCCTTGTCCCGAAACGTGCGTGGTAAACGCACTCTCCGGCGTCTCAACGACGGCTCGCCACAGCCGTGTCCGGCTTCCGCCGCGCTTTCTTGACTGCAGGTGGGCCGCTGAGCGTCGCGGCTAACGTCTCTGCACCGGGCTGTTGTGTAGCCAGGAAAAAACGATCCGCTTCCTCAGCCAAAGCACGGGGCTCCGTGACAGGCGTGTTGGCCAGCGTCGTCTGTACCCGGGGAGGCAAGTGACGCAGGAAAATCTCCGTGAATAAAATCCGGGGATCTTCCCCCCCTAGCAGATTTAGCATTTTCTCCATTAGCTGGGATGGCTTGCTGTCTCCTAGGCCTTGAATGTCAATAATCTGGAGGGCCCTCTCCTTAGCAGAAAGCTAAATGTCTTAAGGAGAAGGGCCTTAATCGCCTCATATTTGCCATGATGTGGGGGGGCTGCGATGAATCCCACCAACCTGGACGACGCAGAGCTGCCCAGCGCTGCTACCACATGGTAGTATTTTAGGTCCCCGTCACGGACCTGTCGGCAGGCGAAGTGGGCCTCCACATGTGGGACGGGTGGCGCAGTGGTCTGTGCATCCGATCATCAGATCAAGGGGGAGTGCTGGGGAACTCCAGTTCGAAACCCGCTCCTGCCGCCACTGCGTCAGGCCGTTGTGTCCTTGGGCAAGACACTTTACCCGGATTTGCTCCTGTGGGTATTGTCCACAGTACATGTATTATACCAATGTGTACTTGTAAAAGCGCCTCGATGACCTCGAGGCGTGAAGATGGACGGTGTGGCGCAGTGCGCTGTGCAATGATCATCAGATCAAGGGGTGAAACCCGCCGCTGCTGCGTCTGTAAAGCCGGTGTGTCCTTGGGCAAGACACTTCACCTGAACTTGCTCCTGTGGGTATTGTCCACAGTATCTGACTATTGCATGTAGGATATATGTGTAATGTGTGTATATGTAAAGCGCTTTGAGTCATTGAAAAAGCGCTATAATAAATGTAAGGAATTATTATTATTATGTGCGAACCATGCCTCCGCGGCGTGCTCCCAGAATTCCGGCAGCTTTACGAACACATCGCGTTCAGCCATGCTCGTTAATTTCCTGGAAACTTTCTCGGAAAAGTCAAGGTCACCAGTGTAGTGCCAGGAAAAGGGAGTCGGAGGCGGTGTATTAAGAACAGAGTTATAATCTTTATTAGCCATTAATAACAGAGAGGTTATCACATCAACTGCTCTGCTTGACGAGCTAGCAGGAATGGAAGCTAACACTACCGGTGTTCCCACTAAAGGGTCCGTGTGGCAACACAATACGAGAGGTGAATTATGTCCAATAACGTGTCACGACAATGTATGCATAAAGGGTTACGTCCTTAGCTGGCTAATAAGTAACAAGCTAAGCTACCAAGCACACAAACACCTGCCAACGGGGTTAACATGTATAATATTATCATTTTAGACTTCTTGGAAGTTCTGTTAGTACATTGAAGCACACAGCACGACATTTTAATTGTCTGGTATTTGTAACAATATTCCCTAAAAGGCACAATCACCACGAACACGGCTAAAGCTAAAGGGTCAAGTACAGTACTATGACTAACTAACTTTGTAGCCTCTATGGTTGTAGCCTAGCAGATTGGACAAGTTGCTGTTAGCTGACAGTGAGGCATGTATGTGTCCATCAACGTGACCACGCCCTAATTTATGCAAACACTTTCAAACCTAATATAAATAAAAGGGTCGTGTTAGAAAACAATTCACTCACAGATTCATAATCATGAAGGTGGAATCTAACTATATCGATAATAATATTTATTGCATCCAGGGGTAGAAACATGTTTTTTCTGCTGTAAAGTTGGGCATTTAAACATGGGGGTCTATGGAAATTGCTCCTTTCTGCAGCCAGTCCCTAGCGGCCCATGTATGCACTGCAGTGTGTGGCACTTCCGTATTGGCGTCCCAGCTGTTCCCCAGAGTTTGCCGCTTGGGACAGACATTAGGCTTGTTTGAGACAAGCGAGACCTGCGCAGTTGCGATCAACGTCTTGCAAGTGCGTTGCATGATGGTTAGTCATTTTGTCCGACTTGCTCTGGAGGCTCGCCTACATGAGACGTTGAAATCTCGCGGGACAAAGACGCCCGCAGCCTTGAGAGCGAGGCGCGGCGAGGCGGCGCAGTTCCTCTCCACGGGCTGCGGAAGCGAAATGCTTGATGGGAAACGACTCGCTGGTATCTCGAGCTGAGCGCTCATTGGTGGGTTTTACCCCGTGCTGCTGATGAAGCTCTCCCATTGGCTCGGCAAAAGTTTGTTGTTGTTTTGTGTCAGTTTTACGTCGCCACATCCATTCCCATTTTTCATCATTGTTCCACAATGTTTATCATCATGAAATTAATATCTATATATTTTATACTATACTGCTTACCGTTTTCATACTTTATATATCTTAGCATATTCATACACACTGTTCATACTGCTCACAGGCTGATATCTAGTGTATTCATACCCCTCACTGTTTATTCATCATTCAATTCATTCTATATTTGATTCTGTAGATTGTGTACATTACTTTTCACTTTACTGCTTGTTGCACCTGGTTAGAAGCTAAACTGTATTTCGTTGTCTCAGTACCTGTAATATGTGCAATAACAATAAAGTTGAATCTAATCTTGAGCAGGAACAAATGTATTCACTTAGTACATATCTGACAAAAACGATTAAACACATGTGTGCATTCTTTATAAATGCAAACCGAGTCAAGCCGACTCACTTAAAGTTGTTTGCAATCCGCCAAAAAACCGAGAGAAGAAGAAGATGAAGAAGAAGCCGACTCGGAGCTGTCCGACTTCAGATGAGCTTTTTGAGACCTCCCCCGGCTGGGATCGGCTATTCTCGTCTATTTCGAGGTGAGCCGCAGCTCGTCTCAAACAAGCCTACTATCCGGTGAATATTGCGTGTGGACGGAAGCTTTTTTGCGATTGCGTTTGCGTTAATCCTATGCGTTTAGCCGTTTTCGTCCTCGTGTGGCCGGGGCCTTAGTAACAGAGATGGTCAAACTAAAGTAGAGACATGGCAGAAATCCTACAATGAAGCGGGACAGTGAGAGAGGGCGATCAAGAGAAGAGAGCGAGCGGTGAGGCAGTTTACAGATGAAAAGACACAGAAAGACAGAAGCCCAACAACAAGTATATTTAGGTGTTTGTTTGTAAATAACCGACGGTATCAAGAGGAAGTAAAGTCCCCTGGTTTGTCCCTTATACCCTAACTGCCATGAGACAACTCAAAGTCAAGTTTCCAAAATCCGACACTGAGGTGGTCTTAACGCACCGGCAGATGACAGCGCTGATAAAGTGTGTTTCCCGCAGCGAGACGCTACCATACTAATTGTGGGCTCATCATGGTGATTCGGCCACAACAGAAAAAAGAAAAACAAACTCTCGCTCTCTCCAGAGGAGAAGGTCAGCCAAGAAGGCCAAACGGGCCGTTGCCCGGGCAACATTAGCCCGTACCTGTGCACGTCCCTGCCCACGATGAGACTGAGTTTGACACCCCCGCCCTAGAGGACTCGATGCAAAGGAAAAACTGGCACAAATCCACGGCTCCACGTCTTCTGCCTTCTTCTGGCCATCGCATTTTTGGCGAGACGTTGGAAGTAAAACGAGGTGAATGTAAAAGGGGCCATTCAATATATATATATATGAATGCTGTGTTGTTTACATTCTTATTGGCTAGTTTCTCTGTGTTATAGCTCAACATGATTTAAGGGGCGAGCAGATAAGAAGCACACACATTTGAGTATAAAGTTTAGACACATTAAAGAGATCCTATTGTGCCTTTTGGGGGTTTCCCTCTCCTGTAGTTTGTTTTATAGGTTTGTTTCCGAGAGTTCACTAAAGTCACCACGTTACAAACACAACTCATCATTCTCAGTTAAAGGAACAGTACGTAGTAAAGCACCGTTAGTGATATTAGAGCTGTTTTATTTAAAGTGTTCTCCTCACCTGGAAAGTGGAGCAGCAGCATCAGGAATGAAGACATCATGATCCCTCTGAATTCAGACATCGTGCTTCTCTCTCGGTCTCGGTCTCTCGACTGTCAGAGTCTCTAACCGGCTGCTTCTTTAACTAGAACTCAGCACCTGCTTCCTGTGTAGGAGCCATGAAACGTGTACAGTAATGCGTTTTGTTTTAATATAAGATATCAGTTTGATCACTATTGATTGGCTGGCTTGGTCACATGGATATGCACGGTGTGTGGAAGAGAGGGTGACACAGGGCCGTTGTACTTTTTGTTGACCGCAAGATTTATGATTGCTTTGATTATTATTATTACAATGTCTACGTCTGATCACGGAGCTTTTTCCATTAAACTACATCACAATTCAACAGAGTTTTGATCTCAGCAAGTACTCTTTCTTAGCGTGTCATAGAATATCAAACAGGCCCGGCCTCAGCCTCTCAGCGACTTTGTTTCCTGCTGTCGCTATATCCTGTGAGAAATGAGAAGTCACTTCCTCATCCACCTCTCCTCTGATGGCTGTGGAGTTCATGTGAGATTAGCTTTTAAATCTCTTTTGTCTTTGGTTGTTATAAAAAAGAGGGGAAAAAGTGTAACGTCTAACTTTTATGTTTGATGCATTTCCTGTGTCTGGTTATTCAGAGTGACGGTAACTGCAGGCCTTCTTCATCAGCAACACAACAGAGGAAGCTGAGCATGTTGTAATGCATGTTAACAACATGCTGGTTCCTCTTTGTATCTCTGCAGATTTATTTTTACTTTTTCTTTAAAATAGAGACACTACATACTGATACACACCTGCACATCAGCAGGAGAGGACTCTTTAAAGTAGAGACACTACATACTGATAGACACCTGAACATCAGCAGGAGAGGACTCTTTAAAGTAGAGACACTACATACTGATATACACCTGAACATCAGCAGGAGAGGACTCTTTAAAGTAGAGACACTACATACTGATAGACACCTGAACATCAGCAGGAGAGGACTCTTTAAAGTAGAGACACTACATACTGATATACACCTGAACATCAGCAGGAGAGGACTCTTTAAAGTAGAGACACTACATACTGATAGACACCTGAACATCAGCAGGAGAGGACTCTTTAAAGTAGAGACACTACATACTGATATACACCTGAACATCAGCAGGAGAGGACTCTTTAAAGTAGAGACACTACATACTGATAGACACCTGAACATCAGCAGGAGAGGACTCTTTAAAGTAGAGACACTACATACTGATAGACACCTGCACATCAGCAGGAGAGGACTCTTTAAAGTAGAGACACTACATACTGATAGACACCTGAACATCAGCAGGAGAGGACTCTTTAAAGTAGAGACACTACATACTGATATACACCTGCACATCAGCAGGAGAGGACTCTTTAAAGTAGAGACACTACATACTGATAGACACCTGCACATCAGCAGGAGAGGACTCTTTAAAGTAGAGACACTACATACTGATAGACACCTGAACATCAGCAGGAGAGGACTCTTTAAAGTAGAGACACTACATACTGATACACACCTGAACATCAGCAGGAGAGGACTCTTAAAGTAGAGACACTACATACTGATAGACACCTGAACATCAGCAGGAGAGGACTCTTTAAAGTAGAGACACTACATACTGATATACACCTGAACATCAGCAGGAGAGGACTCTTTAAAGTAGAGACACTACATACTGATACACACCTGAACATCAGCAGGAGAGGACTCTTTAAAGTAGAGACACTACATACTGATATACACCTGCACATCAGCAGGAGAGGACTCTTTAAAGTAGAGACACTAATACTGATACACACCTGCACATCAGCAGGAGAGGACTCTTTAAAGTAGAGACACTACATACTGATACACACCTGAACATCAGCAGGAGAGGACTGTTTAAAGTAGAGACACTACATACTGATACACACCTGAACATCAGCAGGAGAGGACTCTTTAAAGTAGAGACACTACATACTGATATACACATGAACATCAGCAGGAGAGGACTCTTTAAAGTAGAGACACTACATACTGATACACACCTGAACATCAGCAGGAGAGGACTCTTTAAAGTAGAGACACTACATACTGATATACACCTGAACATCAGCAGGAGAGGACTCTTTAAAGTAGAGACACTACATACTGATATACACCTGAACATCAGCAGGAGATAACTCTTTAAAGTAGAGACACTACATACTGATACACACCTGAACATCAGCAGGAGAGGACTCTTTAAAGTAGAGACACTACATACTGATACACACCTGAACATCAGCAGGAGAGGACTCTTTAAAGTAGAGACACTACATACTGATACACACCTGAACATCAGCAGGAGAGGACTCTTTAAAGTAGAGACACTACATACTGATATAACACCTGCACATCAGCAGGAGAGGACTCTTTAAAGTAGAGACACTAAATACTGATACACACCTGCACATCAGCAGGAGAGGACTCTTTAAAGTAGAGACACTACATACTGATACACACCTGAACATCAGCAGGAGAGGACTCTTTAAAGTAGAGACACTACATACTGATATACACATGAACATCAGCAGGAGAGGACTCTTTAAAGTAGAGACACTACATACTGATACACACCTGAACATCAGCAGGAGAGGACTCTTTAAAGTAGAGACACTACATACTGATATACACCTGAACATCAGCAGGAAGGACTCTTTAAAGTAGAGACACTACATACTGATATACACCTGAACATCAGCAGGAGATAACTCTTTAAAGTAGAGACACTACATACTGATACACACCTGAACATCAGCAGGAGAGGACTCTTTAAAGTAGAGACACTACATACTGATATACACCTGAACATCAGCAGGAGAGGACTCTTTAAAGTAGAGACACTACATACTGATACACACCTGAACATCAGCAGGAGAGGACTCTTTAAAGTAGAGACACTACATACTGATATACACCTGAACATCAGCAGGAGAGGACTCTTTAAAGTAGAGACACTAAATACTGATACACACCTGAACATCAGCAGGAGAGGACTCTTTAAAGTAGAGACACTACATACTGATATACACCTGAACATCAGCAGGAGAGGACTCTTTAAAGTAGAGACACTACATACTGATAGACACCTGAACATCAGCAGGAGAGGACTCTTTAAAGTAGAGACACTACATACTGATAGACACCTGCACATCAGCAGAGAGGACTCTTTAAAGTAGAGACACTACATACTGATAGACACCTGAACATCAGCAGGAGAGGACTCTTTAAAGTAGAGACACTACATACTGATATACACCTGCACATCAGCAGGAGAGGACTCTTTAAAGTAGAGACACTACATACTGATAGACACCTGCACATCAGCAGGAGAGGACTCTTTAAAGTAGAGACACTACATACTGATAGACACCTGAACATCAGCAGGAGAGGACTCTTTAAAGTAGAGACACTACATACTGATATACACCTGAACATCAGCAGGAGAGGACTCTTTAAAGTAGAGACACTACATACTGATAGACACCTGAACATCAGCAGGAGAGGACTCTTTAAAGTAGAGACACTACATACTGATATACACCTGAACATCAGCAGGAGAGGACTCTTTAAAGTAGAGACACTACATACTGATACACACCTGAACATCAGCAGGAGAGGACTCTTTAAAGTAGAGACACTACATACTGATATACACCTGCACATCAGCAGGAGAGGACTCTTTAAAGTAGAGACACTAAATACTGATACACACCTGCACATCAGCAGGAGAGGACTCTTTAAAGTAGAGACACTACATACTGATACACACCTGAACATCAGCAGGAGAGGACTGTTTAAAGTAGAGACACTACATACTGATACACACCTGAACATCAGCAGGAGAGGACTCTTTAAAGTAGAGACACTACATACTGATATACACATGAACATCAGCAGGAGAGGACTCTTTAAAGTAGAGACACTACATACTGATACACACCTGAACATCAGCAGGAGAGGACTCTTTAAAGTAGAGACACTACATACTGATATACACCTGAACATCAGCAGGAGAGGACTCTTTAAAGTAGAGACACTACATACTGATATACACCTGAACATCAGCAGGAGATAACTCTTTAAAGTAGAGACACTACATACTGATATACACCTGAACATCAGCAGGAGAGGACTCTTTAAAGTAGAGACACTACATACTGATACACACCTGAACATCAGCAGGAGAGGACTCTTTAAAGTAGAGACACTACATACTGATACACACCTGAACATCAGCAGGAGAGGACTCTTTAAAGTAGAGACACTACATACTGATATACACCTGCACATCAGCAGGAGAGGACTCTTTAAAGTAGAGACACTAAATACTGATACACACCTGCACATCAGCAGGAGAGGACTCTTTAAAGTAGAGACACTACATACTGATACACACCTGAACATCAGCAGGAGAGGACTCTTTAAAGTAGAGACACTACATACTGATATACACATGAACATCAGCAGGAGAGGACTCTTTAAAGTAGAGACACTACATACTGATACACACCTGAACATCAGCAGGAGAGGACTCTTTAAAGTAGAGACACTACATACTGATATACACCTGAACATCAGCAGGAAAGGACTCTTTAAAGTAGAGACACTACATACTGATATACACCTGAACATCAGCAGGAGATAACTCTTTAAAGTAGAGACACTACATACTGATACACACCTGAACATCAGCAGGAGAGGACTCTTTAAAGTAGAGACACTACATACTGATATACACCTGAACATCAGCAGGAGAGGACTCTTTAAAGTAGAGACACTACATACTGATACACACCTGAACATCAGCAGGAGAGGACTCTTTAAAGTAGAGACACTACATACTGATATACACCTGAACATCAGCAGGAGAGGACTCTTTAAAGTAGAGACACTACATACTGATACACACCTGAACATCAGCAGGAGAGGACTCTTTAAAGTAGAGACACTACATACTGATATACACCTGAACACCATCAGGAGAGGACTCTTTAAAGTAGAGACACTACATACTGATATACACCTGA